GAGTAAACTGCTTAGCTCATTTGGTCCCAACACCAATATGGACATTCCTGGAGCTCCCTATCTATTCTTTGTTGTGGAATACGCCAACAAATGAGCACTTGGCAATGTGGACTTCCAAGTGTGCTGCTGTGACCTTGTGCATTATCTTATGACCATGTAAGATGCTTACAGGATGGCTGGTGCCCAACGCTACTTTGCCCCAAATCAAATAACTCCTTGACACAATGTGTACGATGATTGCCTTCTAGGGCACCCTGTAATGTTATCAAGAGATTACTAGGTTACTGGGTGCTCAAGCCAGAATTGATAAGTAAATGGCCCTTTGCTACTACTGATATGAGCAGAAGGGTTACATTTGAAAAAGATTATCTGCAACATGGCTGAGTGGGCAGGAAAGCAGAGGAAATAAAGCAGAGATATTTAAGCGAAGATAGGAAGTCAGCTACTGCAACCTCTCTCCTAATGGTACAGGGCCATACATCATACCTCTCTGAGCCATTTGGAGACATTAGTCTGCTGATACCTTCTTTGCAGTGCACCTGCTCTCCGTTTCAGATTTATCTCTTCTGAGTTGAAAGCAGGGAAGGATTCCGCAATGTCCAAATGCCAGGCCTATCGCTCAACCTTTCATTGCGAAAAGCAGCATACGGAAAACACATGAATTATTATTATTTGCTCTTGTACCTTGTGACATCACTAATGCTAATAACACAGGTGGTGGCTGTTTTCTTTCATTGCAAAGGGATTTCTGCCTTTGCATGCATATTGAATACACATAAAAAATTAAACAATATATTTCAGCTATCCACACAGGTCAGGGCCTTTTCTGCGGTGGAATCCCCTGCATGTAGAGATGTACCATTAACCCTTCAGTGGATGGGCTTCCAGAACCAAGTCTAAACACACTCTTTCACCCTGGCTTTTAGTGATACATTGACACCAGAAGGTTCCAGAATTTGAGGAGTCTTTAGGTAGCCTACTGTATTTTTATCTGTATTCGCTGCTACATTTCCTGCCTAAAGTTTTAAATTATTCTTTTATTTAGAGTTTATATCTGTATTTATATTTTTAGTTGTATTTTATTGATTGGTTTGTAAACTGCCCTGAGATTTGTTTGCATGAAGGGGATGAACTGCAGCTATTTGTTTAAAGTATTAATTGTTCAAAACAGCAATATAGCAGATAGGGAAACAACAGCCTCCTGCTCCAGCTCTCCATCAGCTGAATTAGACTGCACCTGACGAAGTGAATTTCAACTCACAGAAGCTTCTGCCACAATAAAATTGTGCCACAGGACTCCTTGCTGTTTTTGTTGCAGCAGACTAACATGGCTGCCTCTCTGTAATTTTCAACTATTACAGAGGGCAGGGGGAAAGAGGGGGTGTCAAGTAGAGTTGAGAATATTCTAGGGTAGCCATATTTCAGAAAGTGAAAATCTGGACACAAAAGTTGTTGAGCTTTTTGGCCACTTCCTACATGTTTCCTGGTATGTCCAGGAAATGGCAACCCTAGAATATACTATTCTATACTATTCTGTAAAGTTGTGTTAAATATTGCTCTGATAAGTTTGCAAAAACAAAAAGGGGTCCTGTGGCACTTTAAGTACTAAATGGATTTATTGTGGCGAACATTTATGCCCCAATAAATCTGTTAGTCTTTATGGTGCCATAAGATTCTGTCTCTGTGTGTATTTGTTTGCTGTGGCAGAGTATTACAATGACCCCAATAGTTTATGTGTCTATTGAGCAGAGGGCCCCCATTGCTCAGGAACTGGGTGACACACAACTATTGTTCTTTCCAAAGCATGAACTTCTTATAACTCCAGACAATGGCAGGCTGTCCTGAATGTTAGGACAGAGCTGAACATGCCTTACTTTGGATTCTATGTGGAGTGAAGAGATGTTCTCTTTTAAAACCTCTCTATTTCAAATTCAGCAGTTATATTCCTATTGCTATAAGGCTCATCCACAGTGGAGTTTAATGTGGATTGGAAGCTGCTTGTGTTTTATTATTCTTTTATGATTACTTTTTTAGTATCCACATGACAGCTTCCTCATCCAAATGACAGCCTGCGCTTCCCACCCTGGCAAATTCAGATTTTCCCAATCTGATAAGGGAAGAAACTTCAACATAAAACCACATGTTTCCCTGCTGTGGACACACTGAAGTGCATTGGGGGGGTTGTCTTTTTACATGTGTGGTGGGATTTCACTGGCCATTTCTATCACCACACACCCCGACTTCCATTTTGTTTCTATCAGCTCAAAGGAAAAGATGCTGCCTGTCCCTTTTCACCAATTGTGAAGGCCTGTGTGTGGTACTTAAACAAAACACAACCCACCTCATTTGCACAGAAGTGCTCTTGCATAAAATAGCTGTATTAAAAATTACAGTAAAGATAAAATTTGCTCTCATCGGTACAGGAAGTGGGAAAGGGAAGTAAAGGAAGTGGCAGCCGCAGCCTTTCATGTGAGAGACACCAAATACTTGTCTGACTTGGAGCAATGCACTTTTTAAAAGAGGCTGTTTTGTACAAATTTAGTAAATCAGAAAATTTGCATTCCAAAACTAATAATGCATATTTTAACACTGTGCTGCACAGGTAAACAAATACCTGTGTGCATGTCCATAGCTTCCTGGCTTGAAGCAACACAAATATATTTTAATGTTATTTTTTACAATTATTATATTTAATATTATATTATTATGTTCTGCTCTTTTGTGCAAATCTGGTATATTAGATAACTTGTATTTCTTTCATGCACACACAGGTACACCCAGACAGATTAACTAATACCCACACATATGTCCATAATCAACCTCAGGTTTCTAGAACTCATAATATGAATCAGTTGGAGGGGGCAAGAGAGCAAGCATATCCCATCAAACACCACCCACTAGAGTGGACAGGAAACATTGGAAGCATAAAATTGAAAGTGCTCATGTATGGACACACACAGAAAGAAACAATGATTCATGTGCACAGGAATGCCCTAGTGTGGACCCAGATATAGTAACCTGATAGGGAACAGGGGCAAGAAACCTGTGGCTCTGCAGATGTTGAGTATACCTCCCATCATCTCTGACTGTGGATTATGGGAGTTGGCCTGGACTCAACATTACTGGGTCAAATAGTCCGTCTGCTATAAGGCAGCTTCTTACAGGTCAATGAATGAATGAATGAATGAATGTAATGGGTCACTTGATTAATTAAATTGGTTTTTTAAATTGTATTTTAATCAGCTTGTTTTTATTATTGGTTGTTAGCTGTCCTGAGCTTGGTCTTGGCTGGGGAGGGTGGGGTATAAATAAAATTTATTATTATTATTATTATTATTATTATTATTATTATTATTAACAGGCGTGATCCAATCTAGGATGATTCTAATAGTCGAATCTTGTCTCACTTTAATGCTTTTGCCCTTTTGGTGAAATTACTGAGAAATCGTACAGTAACCCCCTTAGAAGAAGGGGGTCATTAGAGACTAGAAGCTAAAAGATATTTAATTCTGCAACCCAAGTAGTTTTTTTAAAGGAGCTAAAAGCAAAAGAGCTACCTGCCTCTTGTAACTATTAAGGGTTCCTGTTGCTCACCCAGTAGATGAGACGGAGCTCCTTTTAGGGTGTACTTATCCAAGCAGTGAAACGAAACCATAAACCCCCAACTCACCCATTTTACTAGTGCCTTCAGAGGTTCCGGGGGGGGGGAGAGCTGTAGACAGGGGTGCCAACTTGAATAAAATATTGGCGGGGGGCGGGCAGGTAAGCCCTGCACCACATAATCAATCACATGATGCTGTGCATGCACACCATTTGAATGGCAATGTCTGTCAACATATTTTATTGGGGAGCCAAAGACCCCCTGGGCCACTAGAGGTTGGCTCCTCTAACAGAACTATCATGAGGGCTGATCCATGCATGATTTCTCTCTCCCATACTATTTTATATATCTTTGTTAGCTTTCAAAATGCAGAGCAAACACTGCATGTTACTACATGGGGACCGAAGGGAAAAGAAGGCATGGCTCTTGCTGCTGGAGATGGTGGATGAAGCATGAGATCTGGAACCAACAGAGAACCATGGGCATTGTAGCAAAATAACAACTCTTAAAAAAAACCTAAGATCATGGCCACTGGGCCCATCACCTCCTGGCAAATAGAAGGGGAAGAAATGGAGGCAGTGAGAGATTTTACCTTCTTGGGCTCCATGATCATTGCAGTTGGTGACAGCAGTCACGAAATTAAAAGACACCTGCTTCTTGGGAGAAATGCAATGACAAACCTAGACAGCATCTTAAAAAGCAGAGACATCATGCTGCCAACAAAGGTCCATATAGTTAAAGCTATGGTTTTCCCAGTAGTGATGTATGTAAGTGAGAGCTGGACCATAAAGAAGGCTGATCGCCGAAGAATTGATGCTTTTTATTCGTGGTGTTGGAGGAGACTCTTGAGAGTCCCATGGACTGCAAGAAGATCAAACCTATCCATTCTGAAGGAAATCCTTCCTGAGTGCTCACTGGAAGGACAAATCCTGAAGCTGACGCTCCAGTACTCTGGCAACCTCATGAGAAGAGAAGACTCCCTGGAAAATACCCTGATGTTGGGAAAGATTGAGGGCACAAGGAGAAGAGGACGACAGAGGACGAGATGGTTGGACAGTGTTCTCGAAGCTACTAACATGACCAAGTTTGACCAAACTCTGAAAGGCAGTGGAAGACAGGAGTGCCTGGCGTGCTCTGGTCCATGGGGTCACGAAGAGTTGGACACAACTAAAGACTAGGGTGGGTCCTAAATGCAGAACACTCACATTGGGATTAGGTATTAAGTGTTCCACATGGCCAAGAACAATACATGCATCTTTGCTTTCAGAGGTTTTTAGAAACTTTTAGACCAGTATTTATACCCTTACTTTTATTAATGTTTGGTTAAGCAAATGCAACAGCTGTATTTGAGATCAGAATTTCTGTACAATGTGTTTGTAAAATAGTTTTCTAGATTCTAAGTTTGTTGTTGTTGTTGTTGTTGTTTAGTCGTTTAGTCATGTCCGACTCTTCGTGACCCCCTGGACCAGAGCACGCCAGGCACTCCTGTCTTCCACTGCCTCCCGCAGTTTGGTCAAACTCACGCTGGTAGCTTCGAGAACACTGTCCCACCATCTCATCCTCTGTCGAGATTCTAAGTTTAGGAATCTCTGTCTCCAGCCACATGACACAATACATGCAAACAATAAATATCATTGCTATAAAACTGCCTAGTCTTTTTATATAATCTCTTCATTGGCCAAATCCAGATAAAACACTAAGCACTTGTGGTTTGTCTCTCTCCAAACAAGCTAAAATGCATATTAGGGGGAAATGCTTCCAGAAATGCGTATATTAGCAAAAATGCATATAAAAATCTGTGTCATAGAAAAAATATGCATTAAAATGCTTTTGAATTTGTATGAGGACTTAAATACAATTAGGATTATTAACACAAGAAACATTCTTGGACCGGTGCAAGATGAACCAGAGCAAAAGCATTTGCCAATAATGTTTTCATTAATCAAGAACGAAAGTCGGAGGTTTGAAGAAGATCAGATACCATCATAGTTCCGACCATAAACGATGCTGACTAGCGATCCAGTGGCATTATTATTATTAATAATAATTTTTAAAACCCACAAGAAATATTAATCAAACAACAGAAATTCTCAATATTTGACTCTCCTCCTTAATATAACCCTCCCTCTGATCTAAGTCTCTTCCTTCATACATAAAAATATAAAGCTGCTATCAGGCTCTGCCGTTCACAGCTGCCAGTAGGTGCTGCTGCAAAATATAGCCTGACAATGGCCATAGAAATATTGGCCAACGGGAAACATTTTGAAAATGTTTGCAAGTTTCAAGTCACTGGCCATGTGGCCCCATGAAGACTGAAGAGCAATGTCAAAGGTACTAGGGATGTTTCTGCTAGCTAGCTAGCAAAAATAAAATAAAATAAAGCCAAACATATTTTGGGGTGCACTATGCCTTATTCTACAAGGCGTGTGGCCCCCAAAACCGTGTTTAAGGGCAGCATCCCAAAATAGCCTTTTTGGAGGAAATCCAAAAGTGATTCTAAAAGGAGGTGGAACTTAAAGTGAAAGGGGCACCTGTCACTTTTTTTTGGATAATAGATTGTTCGTCCTATATTCTTCTCTCCTGCATAGTGCTGCTGAGCATCCCAGCCACCTGCTATCTTAATTTCCCAGCACTATCTATCCAAATACAATGGTACCCTGGGTTAAGAACTTAATTCGTTCTGGAGGTCCGTTCTTAACCTGAAACTGTTCTTAACCTAAGGTACCACTTTAGCTAATGGGGCCTCCCACTGCCGCACCGCCGCCGCTGTGCAATTTCTGTTCTCATCCTGAAGCAAAGTTCTTAACCCGAGGTACTATTTATGGGTTAGCGGAGTCTGTAACCTGAGGTACCACTGTACAGTAATCTGGCATATGTAAATAGGTGTGTGCACCAATCCTTTTCCTAGCAATGCCTCTGTTGCACTTTTTATTCCTTTGACTGCAACTTCATGTTCTGCTGCCATGTGAGCCTTTTTGTGGCAAACCACAACTAAGAATCTTTAGAAACAAACATATTAATTGTGGCAGATGCTTTTGTGGACTGGAACCCGCTCCATCAGATGTATAGAGTCTTATCTTCTAGTTACCTTCTGTGTGGGGTGTTAAATAATAATCCTGATCTGATGAGACTCTTAATTGGATTATTTTATAGCAAGTTAATGCCTGTGGCCTTCAAGACAAATTACAGGCGGGGGGCAGCTGGGTGTTTCAAGACTTCTCTGTAATTTGCTGAAATCTCTAAACTACTACCCATAGGCTGCTCAAGGCTATTAAGAGTTTTGATTGCGTACTTGATAGCTGGTGACAGCTTCACCAATTTGTGTGTGTGAGAGAGTTTAGGTTTAACCTCAGAAGTAAAGTTAGAGTACTTAAACCCATGTCTAAGGCCTGCGGTGAGGGCAGCCACAAAATACTCTCCAGAGAACCCTCAAGGACTTACAGCCCTTCTGAAATCTGAAGAGAGGTGGGCTGACTGAATAGCCACCATATTCTATAACAGAAGAGTCCTTCCTCTTCTTATCTACAGAAGCTTTACTTCTGTGGAAGACATTTGTTTCACTGAGGTGTGAGCATAATAATAATAATAATAATTTTATTTATATCCCGCCCTCCCCAGCCGAAGCCGGGCTCTGGGCGGCTAACAACAATAAAACAGTACAAAAGTACAGCACAAACAACACTCTAAAATCATTCCTTATAAAATTAATTCAAATTAAACCACTGGCAACCATTGGGCCAGAGCTCCGCGAAGATTGCCGAGGGAGGGAGTCAGGCTGTGCCCTGGCCAAAGGCCTGGTGGAACAGCTCTGTCTTGCAGGCCCTGCGGAAAGATGTCAAGTCCTGCAGGGCCCTAGTCTCTTGTGACAGAGCGTTCCACCAGATTGGAGCCACAGCCGAAAAAGCCCTGGCTCTAGTTGAGGCCAGCCTAACTTCTCTGTGGCCTGGGACCTTCAAGATGTTTTTATTTGAAGACCGTAAGTTTCTCTGTGGGGCATACCAGGAGAGGTGGTCCCGTAGGTACGAGGGTCCTAGGCCGTATAGGGCTTTAAAGGTTAAAACCAGCACCTTAAACCTGATCCTGTACTCCACCGGGAGCCAGTGCAGCTGGTACAGCACCGGATGAATGTGATCTCGCAGCGAAGACCCCGTAAGGAGTCTCACCGTGGCATTCTGCACCTGCTGGAGTTTCTGGGTCAGTCTCAAGGGCAGCCCCACGTAGAGCGAGTTACAATAATCCAGTCTGGAGGTGACCGTCGCGTGGATCACAGTGGCTAGGTCAGGGCGAGAGAGGTAAGGAGCATGTCATTTATACCTTTATATACAGTGCTGCTGCTTTTTATCCTTCCCCTTTCCCCAATTCTTACAATAAATTCAACCTAAAACCTCCACCCAGGAAAAAAACCACACGTGTGTTTGGAGGTTGCCTGTCATGTTCTTTGCTGACTATGTGTTTAATAAAGCAGAACCAAGTTATATAAAATGTGTCTCTAGAGCACAGATTTCAAAGCACTGTTAAAAGAATTCCAAGGTATCAAACATAGAATAAATATCCATAAATGCACACATATCTAAATATATAAACCATGTGTCTGAAATTGTACAGGAGAGCAATCCCGAAGCAGTTTCTGACTCTCCCAATGACCTAAAATATTCTTCTGCAGTAAGGGAGGCAAATAAGCAAAGCTTTCCCATTGTCTTTTTGCTTTCAAATTCTTCAAATCCCATCTTAAGGGAGTATTTGTGTATAATAGGGTGAGCCTGTGACCTGGATTCAGGAACTAAAGTATTAACCATCACAACAGAAAGGCCAGGCTGCTCAGGTAACGCAAACAGCCCATTATCAGGTATCCTGGCAGATAGGATTTCTGCTGTAGACCACCTCCTATGGTGTATGTATGATGATTTTGGGGTGGTCTTTGGCTAAGGGGGTTGGCCAATGTCAAAAGTCTTTAAAGGTTCCTGTACACTTTTGTTCTGGGCATCTCTCTCCTCGGAAGGAGGGCAGGGAACTCTGTTGCAACAGAAAAATAAATATATGCCTTGCTTTCCTCTGGATCCAGTCGCCATCCATTTTTCTCTGACCAATCATGGACTTAGGGGACTCAGAGTTCCATGGGGAGTTGGGCAGCAAAAGCCAAACCCCAATTTTTACATCAGCACCCTGATTTGTTTTGATAGTTTCTCTGTTAGAGCTTCCCCCATCCTTGTTGGTGCCAAAAGTCCATCACGTTAGCATCAAATATTTTCCAATGCATTGATATTAGATCTACCGAAAATTGCTTTGCTGTTTCTGGTGCTTGATTTTATTGTTTTTGTAGCCCGGGTTTTATTCTGCTTTCCTCTTGCACACCACTTTGATGGCTTTATGTTGTGAAGCAGTCTATAAATTTAAACAACAGCAACTTGGCCTCCAAAGACATAGGCCAGCCTTTCCAGGTGTTTTGCACTACAACCCTGAGCACTGACCATGCAGGCTGGGGTTGATGGGAGTTGTAGTCCAACAAGCTCTGAATTGTACCAGGTTGGAGGAGGCTGGCACAGGCAGGCTCTAGTTGAAGGTGCCCTGCTTTTAAAAAACAATATATCTTGAGCTTTTGTTAATAGAGCTTGGGGTTCTAATAAAAAAAGCAAGCAAACCCAAACTAGATATGACAAGGCATATCAACTTTACATTATAAATCAATATTTGAGAGGGATCTGATGCTCAAGAAGCTCATTTGCAATCTCTGTTCAGGCTCTCATGGGTAGCAGGAAAGAAGAGAACCCTCCTTGTGGGAGTATAAGCAGGGCTGGGTGAGATGAACCAATGTATGAGGCAGCCACATATATTCATATAGCATATCCCACTCACTTATCTACTGAATTCACATAAAGTCCCAGTAAAAGATTGATTCAACATAAAATAAGATCCAACATTATGTCACTACAATAACATGGGTTACGTTCAACAAATATGAGCAGTCAGAGACTATCATACTTACCCAAAATGAAATCAAAGTGTACTTATTTTCCTGGTAACAAGTGGTGGAGGATATGTGAATAAGCTTATTCACATCATATACGAATACGCATCATCACACGCTTACTGGCTCTCCAAGTCATCACAGCAATAAAGTACTCAATTAAGCCAGTACGGAACTGAGCAATTTAAGAGGGGGTTTAAGAAAGAATTCCAGAATATAGAGCTCATGCATTGCAGACCTTCAACTACACTAAATGTGGCATGTTTTGGCTGCATCAAAAGTTTGTGCAAATGTGTGATTTTGAAGGGGCAACAATATTAATTGAAAACATCCTTCTTGACACAGGTGCAGTTGTTTCCTACATCTGTAACAAGCTGTTGTCTTCCTAATCTGCTGTTAAAGCTTCAGCATCATTTTTTAAAAGGACAACTCAGGTGGGATTTTTCTTTGTCACTGTTTAATCTCCACCAGTCAAGGAGTGGGCAGTGATCCTAGCCCTAACCCCTCCATTTCCCCTAAGCCAAGAGTCACGTATCTCCTGCCAGCTTTACTCAGATTCACAAAGGCAGTTAAGACACCTACCTGGGAGATGTGAAATGGGCTTTCGTACCTGACAACCACGACTGTGCATCTTCTTTTTTTCGCAAAGAGCCAGGGTCCACTCCCTCCAAGGACAGCGGGGAGAGCCTTTAAAACCTGCCCTTTGAGTTTTATCCAGGCTGAATCTTCCTGTATACTGCCCAGATGGGGCTCATCCACCTGGGAAGGTAGCCCATCTCAGAGAAGGAAACTGATCCTAAATCTCCTCTGCCTTGTGTTATATCTTAGGGATAACAAAAGGCTCAGGAGTAAACCCTACACAAATCCGGAGTGGAGTCTCCTGCAGCCAGGCTGGTGTTAGATGTATTGCTCTGCTTTCCTTTGGACTACATCAGTAAGGCCGAGGGGGGAGTCTTGCTGTTTGACTCCATACACACTGCCCAGGTGTGCACCCCGGGGAGGTCGCTTTGGTGCTGTGGTTTGACTTCACCCCTGGAGATGAGCTCCATTGTCTCTCGAGACAT